TCGTCACAACACACGTGAGAGATAGAGAGAGACAGAGAAGGAAAGAAAGAAAAAGAGAGGCACAAACACCAAACAACGCCAAATACCAAACATCTCTCCAAACACAGGATCTCCGACACAGGCAAACCACAAAAGAGGGTAAGAGGGATTGGTTAATAAGCTCGATATTAAAGGGAGACGTGGTAAAAAAAAAAAGAAAAATAACATTTATTATTAATATTTATTAATACGTTAGTAAAAATAGGTGTTTCGAGTTAGCAGAAACGGGGGCAAGTGTTCCTCGTGCTTGCGATGGAGAAAGCCGCACACGGGCGTCGCGGCCAAATGGTGGCGTACCGTCACAGTGTTTACAGCGCTTCGCCCTCGGCTCAGGCATTCTGCGGTGACCTCGTGACCTCACCGATATTCCATCGTCGGTTCCTGCACTATACACACGCACGCAGCCACGCACGTGCACACCACAGGGAGCTGCACGCGTGCAAACGACGAGAGATCAGGTCGGACGACGAGCTCCTCTCGAAGCACCACCCCCCCTTTCTTCTTCCTCTTCTTCTGATTTTTATACTTCCTCCTCCTCCTGCTCTTCTTCTTCCTCTTCTTCTTCTTCCTCTTCTTCTTCTTCTTCGTCGTTGTCTTGCTCTCGTTCACTGGAGCGAAGTGGAAGCCACCGTTTCGTCGACAAACGCATCGGCCTCTCTCCAAACTTTTGCTCCCGTCACTTTTGGCCCGGCATAACTTGTCCAGGCGGTTGTCAAGCCACGACAACCGAAACGATCTTGACAAGCGCCTCCAGCGGATTACACGCGCCGGTCACTTCGATCATTGGCGCGACTTGGTGACCAGCGAAAATTTCGGATAACGTCGATCATCGGCAAACAACTTGCTAATATTTACGGATACGGTCAGTGACATGTTTGTCGCGGATGCGTGGTTCTGTTCGTATGAGAGATCTTGTTGGATAATAATGAGAATAGACACACAGATTTCACGTGAGCAAGATCGAAGGAATTCTATCGATGGAATCGTTATTTCTTTAAATACGAATGAGTGAATGAACGTTTCAGAGGAAGATGTTTGTGCACTTTTGTTTCGTCGTAAGAAGAAGAAGAAGTAATGGATGGATGAATATAGAATGAATTTATTTCTCGTGATACTTCTTTCCAAAACTCATATTTGTTCGCACTGTTTTATCTTGACGATAAAGGGATAAACGAGATTTTTTTAATCCTCTCTGATAGCCATTAACCGATGCATTATTATTTCGCGAGTAGTGACAAGAATGAATGAACGTTCGAAAGTCATCGATTCGCACTTTTTCGTCGTGAGAAACATCGAATAGAATAAGAGTTAAACGTTTCTCGGATAATCTCTTCAAAATTCACCAATTCACACTTTTCTTTTTTATATATCGTAGAAGTACTCTTGGAAGCCTCGCTTTAAAAATCGTAATCTAATTAAACATCCTATACAGTTCTTAACTCTACGAAGGTCTATCAGACAGGAGTGTACTTGTGGTCCACGTTACGTGAGCATTTATATACAACGCCGGGGATGAACACCCTCGACGACTTCTTCTTTACAAGGGAATGCAACATCGTCTCGCTGCGGGAATGGTACGTTCGCTTTTCGTTTTCCGCGAGACGCAGATCGAGGATCCTTCCTCTATTTCTCCGCGATATTCGAATCCGATCACTCGTTATCCTCCGCTCCTTCTTTCCGTCCCCGACATCTCATTCAAACACATTCCAATTCACGATCGAAATTAATCGAATTTGCACGCCACTTTTCCTCGATCCCTAACTAACCAAGGGAAGGAAGACAGAATTATTATTCGACTTGGTCAAAAAGTTGCAACACAATTCGTCACTTTTCGAAACTCTCTTCTCACTCTCGACCCCTCAACCCCCTCAGACTGTCCTCGAACCTTGGTAAACAGGATTCACGAATTCAACAATCGCGCAAACGAACGAGCCCCCTTCTTCGATTTCTCGTCGATTATATTTCCAAACATCCGTCGAAATTTTCCAAGTTCCTGGAGCTTGCACGCGAGCTCTTCGATTATTCTTCGCGAGGTCGTCGCACTTGGTTTCGATCACGATGTGTACACATATATACATATATATAAATATATACATATATATGCTCGATGAGGCAAGGAGACGTGTAAAAAAAGAAAAAAAAAAAAAAAATCGTGGGATCGTTGAGCGATCGTTCGAGGACGTTTTGCGGGTGTGCTCACATCGCGAGGTGGAGGGCGTCTAGGTCGCCGTAGCGCCTCGCAGCCATGCCACACACGCACTGACGGACGCCCGACGCCGGGACGCCGTCTTCGGCCGGACTCGGTCCACCCTCTCGGCAAGCGTCGGGACGCCTGGCTGCGGGCCAACGCGAAACTCGCTGGAACGCCGCCGAGGGGCGCTCACGGTGGACCGACTAATTTTCTAGCTTCGTACGGATCATTTCGTGTGATCCCACACTTCGTTATTTAGCCGTTTCGATTATTGATGAGGAGACGCCTGGATAACACGGTTTTTATCGCAATTATATTTAATGATATTTACTCTCAATGGGGAAATAAAAAATGCGAATAGTTTCACTCTACTGAACATTTATGATAAATCGACGTATCTTTTTTGTTCAAATTTGATGCGATTGAAACTTGATCAAATCTGAATAGAAATTCGCTCAAGTTCGTTTAAAAGTAAAACTATGTGTGTGTGTATGTGTATATATATATATATATATATGTTGCTCTCGAATTAAAATAAAAGTATTCGCCAACAATTTAAGAAAGAAAATTAATATGGCGTGTTCGGACGTCAAGAAGAAACAAGGAAAGGACGTCAACAAATTATCCGACAATCTTCCATAACCAAATCTCTTGAAAAGATGTTATGCTACGTAAATCGAGAGGAAAATTTTTTAAATTGGTTAAAAGTC